CACATATTTAAAGCATGTAGCCTGGAGGGAGCAGTCCCTGAAGAAGAACATCATACGTGGAAGGATAGAGGGGCTGCGCAGGAGAGGAAGACCCTGTATGAGATAGATTGACACGGTAAATAAGGTAATGGGGACATGTGTGTCAGAGACAGTGCGACTGGCTCAAGCGAGGTGAGAGTTCACAGCTGTTGTACATAGGATCTTTATGAGTTGCAGGTGACTTGATGGCACATAGCAACAACAAAAGCGCTGCTAACCAGATGTCTTAAATATGTGGACTAAGTTTCATCATTTTTGCCTCTCTAAGAAGACCTGATTGCACTTTCTCTAAGACATTTGTTTGTTCTTTTGACAGTTCATCAGATATTCAGTACTCTTCTGCAACACCACAGCTCAAAGGCATCGATTCCTCTGCCGTCATGCTTACTTTTTGTCCAACTTTCAGATGCATGGGAATAATTTAAAAAGACCTTAGATTGGATCAGGTGCACTCTTAGTCTTTACTCCTTAGAACTTTGGAGAGGTCCTTGCCAGCATATTTGCCCAATGCACTACACCTTTTATTTATTTATTTTTTTTTTAATTTTGACCACTGTTGCCAAGGAGGTTGATTGTGTATCTAAGTTAGATAAAATCATTCACAATTTCAGTCTTTCTCCATCTGACATTGACAATGATGTGCCTACTGCCACAACATCTTCTAAACTCAGCTTTGTATTTCTGGTAGTGCTGTCGATACCCTGTTCTCGTCGGTTTTGGATAATCTTAAGCAAAATTATTCTTTGTGTGTGATAGTAGTAATATTGTTGGATAATTTCTATACTGTTAAATCACCCCTTTTTTTGAATAGGAATAAATATGCATTTTGTTAAAATATAAGCATTTTTAAACAAAGTGTTAAATAAAAATTGAAAGACTATTACAATATATTTGATGTCCATTTAGATTAAATATCTATAACATTTTGCCATAACTGCTTTATCTGTATTATTTTTCCTTCCATTTAATACTTGAAAATAAATTGTAGACAGCTGACATTTCACCCCTAAATTTTCTGTAGGAGATATTTATAACTGACTTTTTGGAGGCATACCAGTTTAAATTTTATATATGTATATATGGTGGGATAGACTCAAAGTTATATTTTGGTTCCTGTGGATTTGGTTTAATTTTCCTCAGCTTCAGCTT